AATTCAATCTGAATGTGGACGCCTGTAAATATTCAAATGTAACCCCCTTTGTAATCGTTAACATTTTCATAAGTAACTGTAATTTAATTACACATTTTTTCTTAGTAACTGTAACTGATTACAGTTACATTTATTTTGTAATTAAATTACGTAACGCCGTTACATGTAACTAGTTACTCCCCAACACTGTAAATAAGTATGTTAAGTCACCATATAGAAGAATACTACAGTTAATGAGTGTATAGGGGACTGATCATGCTGTACCTCCGGTTGAGCTGCTCCATCTGGTGAGTGGAGCCGGATCTCTGGATGCTGCTGCATTTGGCTGCATGGCTGGGCCTCTGCCACGTGGTGGTGCGGTTCACATGATCCACGTAGAAAACACGGCCGTGACTGTCTATCCTGGCCTCCCAGTCTGTGCCAGATTTAAAGAAAAACATGAGCTTATATATAAGAAGCATATAAACACATACAGTCAGGCTGAGAAGAGACAATTCAGTGCAATTTAAATCATAGGTTGTGAATATATCATACATGAATCATATATATATATACATGTACTAAATACACAGTATGCATAGAATATTCAACAATTTGAATTGATGTTAGCAAACAGGATAGAGAATTGGAGTGAAATTCAAAGAATCTCCAAAAAAAGTTTGGTATTTAATAACATTTCATTCTTCAGTATGAATTACCCATAAACATGTTATCATGATATTTGTAGACAAATTATGATAATGTTTGAAATGATATAACTTGTACTTAGTTTATATACATTTTAAATAAAACTTTTATCTAAGATTCTAAAATCTTCTATCAAATATATAGTCTATATAATACAATATAGCATTAAATTGCTCAAAAGTGACAGTAAAGACATTTATAATGTTACAGCAGATTTCTATTTCAAATAAATGCTGTTCTTTTGAACTTTCTGTTCATCTGTGAATCCTGAAAAATAAAATGCATCAGTTTCCACAAAAATATTGTGCAGCACAACTGTTTTCAGCATTGATAATAATCAGAAATGTTTCTTGAGCAGCAAATCAGCATATTAGAATGATTTCTGAAGATCATGTGACACTGAAGACTGGAGTAATGATGCTGAAAATACAGCTGCGCATCACAGAAATAAATGACAGTTTAACAGATATTCACACAGAAAACAGCTGTTTTAAATTGTAATAATATTTCACAGTTTTACTGATTTTACTGTACTTTTGATATATTTGATAAACAATTATATTTATATATTGACAGTGCTTCTGTAAATTTTTAATTCAAGAAAATTCTTTCAGTCATTCCAATTCCAGCATCTTGTGTGAAATAGACATTTCAATTCAAATTCAGTCATGAACTGATAGGAAGCAGCTATCGAGTCTGGCATTCAGAATATGCATGGAAAATCACTTGTATGTTGAACCCTGAAGAAGCACAGCTTTAAACACACACACACACTCACTCACTCACACTCATTCACACACACACACACACACACACACACACACTCACACACACACACACACACACACACACACACACACACAACCATTCAAATATAATAAAATATAAAAATGCAATAAAATAATAAAATATTTTATTTAATAAAAATATTTTTTTAAATTTATAATATAAATAAAATAATTACAATATATGATATAAAAATATTACTTGAATAAATCACAGCGTTTTATTTATTTATTTATAGTTTGATATGCATTTTTGGTATTTTATTGTGTACCAATGTAATGGTGCCTTTTGTAACCCCTTGTAACATTTTATATGCGTACCTATTTTACAGTAAACTCAAAGCTCAGCACCGTTCCAACAAGTGTGACAGATTTTGTCCATCCTGACTATCAATACACTCAAAATGCCAAAATTTTGTATTCTCAAAATGTGAAAATTCTGAAGGGTAAATTATTATAATAATTAAGTTATTTTGCAATTGGTGCACTGCAAACCACCCATTTTTCAAAAATGCCTGCATGCTAATAACTTTATATGTAATTATCCTAGGCATTTTTCTTATTAAAAAATGTCTTGATGTCTTAGTTTGCCTTCACTTTCAAGCTATTTAACTAGGATTTGAGAATTACTGGCTTTGAAAGCAGCATTCATTGTGTAGCTGTAATTTAAAACATATGAAGCTTTCTTTTGAAATGCAGTATGCATACTCAGCCTCTTTGTGGCCCGTATCACTATGGCAACTGTGAAGAAAGCCCTTGAGAGATCAGATCAGACCATCACTTATCTCTTGAGACACAAGCTCATTTATATCAACTGTGTTCCGAGTTCCCCGGAAATTCCTCTTGAGAAGAGTGTACAGATCAATTCTGACACCAAAAGCTTGTGTTCTTTCCATTTTTGAAAGCTCTTGCCCTGCCTGTTTGCCTAAACAAGCTCATTATATATAAACACCAAGAAAAATGCAAGCAGGTTTTAAGACCCAAACAGTAATTTGCGAGTTCATTTCTCTCGAGGTTTGGAGTGAACAACATGCCAATGTCGTTCAAAGACCTGTTACAGTCTGACACCCGTTTCCTCTGACTAATGGAATAAATGGTGCTTGACTGGGGTTTTGTAATTAGTATCAGATTGCATTTTATTATATATCCAACACTTATGTTAGAAAGGAGAGGGTGAGGAATGTCACTGTGATGGACAATGATATGAATGATGAGATGCAATGCTGGGAGTGAGCATTTTTAAACGTGGTCTGTACATGTTCTGAATGTAGACCCCCCCCACACACACTTTTATAGCACTCAGATACATATTCCCACATGAATGAAGGTAGCAGGTTAATGGCATAAGCGAGGGTCAGGTGTAACTCAGGAAAGCTTACTTGGTGGTAATGGTTCATCAACACTTGGGTGATGATGGGGATCAGGCCGCAAAGCAGGAAGATGAGTGATTGCATGATGACGGCATTGCATATGACAACTGCCTACAAACAAAATCAGATACAGGCCCATGACTTATGACAATCTACATATGCCATAAATCAGTGAATTGGCCTGCCAATGTCACACAAAAAAATATAATAAAGTCTAAAAACTGCAATAAATATAATGTATTAACTAAATCAAATATTTTTATTACAAAAAATTAAATAATATACATTCAATTACAATGTACAGTATAATATAAAATATATATTTTTTATTAGTTTATTTAATTAATGTTTTCTTTCTTTCTTTTTTATTAGTTTGATATGCAATTTTGGAACTCTATTGTGTTTAAAATCTAGGTCACAAGTTGAGAACCACAGCAATGAATAATATATGTGACCCTGCACCACAAAACCAGTCTTAAGTGTCAATTTTTCAAAATTGAGATGTATACATCATCTGAAAGCTGAACAAATACACTTTCCATTGATGTATGGTTTGTTAGGATAGGACAATATTTGGCTGAGATACAACTATTTGAAAATCTGGAATCTGAGGGTGCAAAATAATCTAAATATTGAGAAAAATCGCCTTTAAATTTGTCCAAATTAAGTTCTTAGCAATGCATATTACTAATCAAAAATTAAGTTTTGATATAGTTACGGTAGGAAATTTACTAAATATCTTCATGGAACATGATCTTTACTTAATATCCTAATGATTTTTTACCCCAGTGACTTAAGACTGGTTTTGTGCTCCAGGGTCACATATAGGCAGAATTCAGGGCCAAAATTGTCAAAAAGTTACACAATTTACCTGAACTCACCCTATATATGTAATACTCGAAAACACATTCACTGAGATATCATGGACCGGGTAGCCTTTCTGGTGACTGTCCATTAAATGTGGTCAGTGAAGGTGAAAGACTAATTAGAGAGTCATTATTGGATCTCAACAGGAAGAGATCATATTCAGCAGTGTACCTGAGGTTCAGCAGTAATTGACTGCCAAACTCATCATTGGGCAAACTAGCAAGCAGCACTACAGCAATTATAAGTGGTGTGGCTTTCTTTTAATGGTGATGCTATTTTGCTGTGACAAATTCTACCTGTGCTTTAATGAAGTATAAAAACAACCCATTACAACAACTTAAATATATAAAGCTGGATGAAAAAGTGCGTTCAGTGTTATGAGAGTGTTTCAATAATTGTCCAGTACCATACTACTAGTTATATTTCTGTAGAATGCAGTATGTATGTTGTGTGCAGTATAAAAGCAGTCAATATGCACGTATATGACCAGCTGCATACAGTTATATACACTACAACAAAGCAAACTGCATAGAACACTGTATCCCACAATGCAATGAAGACGACAGATCTGGAAATAACACTTTAAAAAGTTACACTTTATTTCGATAGTCCACTTTAGGCATTCTACTAACTATAAGTAACTTTGTAACTACATGTCAACTACATGTCAACTGATTCTCATTAATTTGCAACTACATGTCTACTAACTCTCAGAGTAGACTGTTAGGGTAGGTTTAGGGTTAGTAGAATAAGTTGACAAAGAAAGTGTTAGAAGATATTAAGCAGACAGTCTACTAATACTCTACTAACTGCTAGCTGACATGTAGTTGCAAAGTTACTTACTGTTAATAGAATGTCTAAAGTGGACTATCGAAATAAAGTGTTACCGAAATAACATCTGAGGCATTTTCAACACTACTTTCTCTGTCAATGGATAAGACATTTAACACAATAACATACAAAATAGCCATTTCGCTTTTGCTAACTATAATTACAATTAAAATAAAGAATAATAGGTGAATTAAGCATGCCATGTAATGAGGAACATTTAAATGTTTATCTTTTTATAAAGTATACTGTTATATATATACTGTTAAAATAGTAGGCAGCATACATTGTAAATTGTGCAGTATGCAGTATGTCAGCATTCCACTCTAAACACAACTTAAGTGCTCATTTAGCTGGATGCTAACATGATAATATAACTCAACTTCTGAACCCAACTGCTCATTGGGATTAGTGGGATGCTAACATGACATAGTTGGAAGCTACTTGTTCAATTAACCACGCCATGTAATGAGGAATTGTGACAACCATCTCTTTACTCTTTACATTATATTGTGTAGTACACAGTAAGCCATAGGTCTTCATCCCTGCTCCTGGAGACCCATTATCCTGCTACGTTTTTGGTGCATTCCATTTGTACTCAGAAGTCAGAAATTCTTTTAACTGGAAATCCCCTAAAGTTGCAGTTCAGACTCGGAAACTCAGAGGAAATGCAACAACCTCGACTTCAGAATCCAAAATGGCAGCTCAGCGTATCAACATAAGTGAATCAGTAGTAATATATTGTTGATTAGCACTTCTGTGCACACAGTACTATATATCTGTGGACATGATACTTATCTGTGGCATTATCTGTGGAAAATATCACTCTGTATGTGTTTTTATTGACTGTTATTGCTAACAATGGATGAGTTTTCAACTAGTGTACTGCAACATGGTCAACTCAGGTGATGTAATTTCCAGCTCTGACATCCATCTTCCAAGCTAAATGGGATGCGGTATTAATTCCAACCTGCTTCAACACACCCGCCTGTGATTTTAAAGTCACCCTGAACACCTTGATTAGCTTGTTCAGATGTGACTGATTAGGGTTGGATCTAAATTAGGCAAGACAGTGGGTCTCCAGCAACATAGCTGAACGATGTCTGCAGTAAAAGCATTATGTTAGCAGTCCATTCTGAACATAACTCGGCTCATTTAGCTGTATGCTAACCTGAAAGTAGCTGAATTTATTAACTCAACTGCTCATTGGGATTAACGCATGGGTGTCCAGTCCTGCTCCTAGAGGGCCATTGGCCTACGGAGTTTAGCTTCAACCCCAATTAAACACACCTGAACAAGCTAATCAGGGTCTTAATAGGCATATTAGAAACTTCCAAGCAGGTGTATTGAGGCAAGTTGGAGCTAAACTCTGCAGGAAAGTGCAGAGTTTGTAAACCGTTGGATTAGCGCAGGGCTGGCCAATGTCAGTCCTGGAGAGCCACAGTCCTACAGAGTTTTGCTCCAACCTTGATAAAAACTCACCTGCCTGTAGCTTTCTATTAACCCTTAGACCTTGATTAGCTTGTTCAGGTGTGTTTGATTAGGGTTGGAGCTGAACTCTGCAGGACTGTGGCTCTCCGGGACCAACATTGGCCATGCTCGGAATACTGGAAAGCTAAGATAAGATAAAATGTATCAAATACTGATCTTCTTTTACAATGAAATATCAACAATCCCTGTACACTTTAGTAACTGCTCCAAGCAACACGTTTTAGCAAACAATCAATGCGGAAAGGTCTTGCTATACTCTTAAATAATTTGGACAAGGCTCCTCACCTGATGACCTAAAACTAGACCCAGGTACTGGTGACATCTCCCCCTCCCCTTCTCTCTGGGGACTTTCTTCTGATGACGACTCCCTCCAATGAACCAACCCGTCTCCTGGCTCCCTTATATCTGGGCTCTGCATGGAGTCCGAGACCGACTCAAAAGCACTGTTCTCCTCCTCCTCTTCCTCCTGCGAGGAGAAAACTGTGCTCTCCGACAGGCGGGTGCTGTCAACCGAAGAGAGGCGTGTATGGCTGCAAAGGTGGTTACGCCCCTCGTAACCTGAGTTACTGTAACAGGAAGTGCTGTAACAGGATGTGCTGTAACAGGAAGTGCTGTAGCAGGAATTGTCACACAGTTCGCACTCACTCTCTCGAGGTTCCCTTCTGTTTACGCCTCCACCACCCACTTCCACGTGTTCGCTTTCTAGTCGGAGGGTGGAAGATGAGGGCCTTTCGCACTCCAAAAGTTGGTTGAGTTCGGACAGGCGCTCGATGGAGAGGCTACGTGGTAGGGTACGCCTGCAACAAGGTCTAGGACACTCGGGCACGATGGATGGAGACTGTGCTTCAGACACCTCGTCTTCTTCCTCTTTGTCCTCTTGGGGTTTCACAGTGAATTCCTCAGAAGATTCTGGGTCAAGTACCTCGTCTTCATCTTGGCTGTCATTGTGGCACTGAGCTGATGGCAAGCTGTGCAGCAGATGATGAATGCGGATGTAGTGAGAACGTGGCGTCTCTGGTTCCTCACAGGCCGAGGTGATGACCGTCTCTAACTCGGACACGGGAAGTGAACAGGGACGGCTCTTGCGCTTCAAGGCACTTCGCATCCTTGGCGAGCAGGGTTCTTCATCATTCCCATCTCTTTCCACCCTCATGTCAACCCGCTCTGAGCTTGTGCCTCCCTCAACCTCTGCATGCTCTCCAGTAGGTCCCATTCCAGTTGGTCCACCCATGTTTTCAGCTTCATGGTTCTCCAGGACCTCTAAAAGAGTCTCCGCCACAGTTTCCTCCTGCATCTCCTCGGACTCTGTTTTTCCAGGGTCTTGATCCGCAGTTTCTCCTTGAGTGGCATCACTCAATAGTGTCTCTCCTCGAGCTGTTACAAGCTCATCAGCTGATCCTTCTGCTTCTGGTTGGGTATCCTTACTGGGCTCAGCTAGAGAGGTAAGCAGCATGGCATCCTGGGTCTCTACCTCTGGAGGACTTTCTGCAGGCAGCTCCAGCATGTCAGGACCCAAACTCAATGCGTCCTCCAGAGGCAGATCAGAAGCAGGTGGTAGGTCCTCGTTGAGCTCCTGCTCAGGCTGCTGGTCAGGTGTCGTATCAAAGACTGGCATTGCATTGAGGGACACCTCCTCATCATCTACCAAAAAGAATAAGCAATCTGTTAATATGGTTAAACAGACCAGCTATGAAATAACACAAGGTATCTTTAGCAAAAATCAGTCTAGAGATTCCAACCTAATCTCTCAGGAGAATGTTACTATTTCTTACAAGGTGTATGAATTTGTACAATGTGAATTGTACGAAAACATACAATATTTAGAAAAAGAAGCAAGCATGAAGGTCCACCCCTGCAAATGAGAATCCGGTAATACTTTAGATTAGGGAACACTATTAGCACTATTAACTATTAGCATGCATATTACTAGCATGTTGGCTGTCTATTAGTACTTTTAAAGCACATATTAATGCCTTATTCTGCATGATCATTTCTACCCCACCCCATACCTAAACATAACTACTACAAACAACTACCTTATTTACTATCAATAAGCAGCAAGTTAGGAGTTTATTTAGGGAAAACTCTTAGTGAATATGTGTTCCTAATCTAAAGTGTTTCAGAGAATGCATAAAAATGAATGAGAATTAGCAACCAATTCGGCAAAACATAAAATACTTAAAAATTGCTATGAGATTGTGTTGGAAAGGAATTTTAAAGGAATTGCTCTTCCCAAAATTAAAATCTGACAAAAAAATAATTATCTCAGTATCTGTACTGTTGTTTGATAGATAAACAGATGCATTAGTAAACATGCTGCAGACCTGGATGAATCGATGAAGTTATCTCAAAACGAAACTGCAGCTGGCCGCTGACATGATCTGTTGGAAGCCGTCGGCCTAAAGTGTAATTCACCACACGATCCCTGTTTACACACGAGAAACAAGGATACTTGACATTTTAAATACCACAGGCAATTTACCATAAAATAAATCGAATGGCACACCGAAAACCTCACTGCAGGAGCCTATCCGTGCATTTTCAGTCTTTTAAATGCATGTACAGTACCTTCTTGTAAACATTAAAAATAAATTAATATTTAGGCCTATGAAAACTGAAACCCTGGAAGAAAAAATGGTGCACAAATGGACCAATAATTTGAAAAATAAGTCAAGAATTAGAGTGTAATCACAGTCCTCAGCAGGTTCACTGTCAGATAAAATGTGAATGATTAGCAGTAGAATTAGCAGAGTCCTACCCGATAGCATGTTTCTCCAGCAGCCTCTGTACAGGCACAACTAACTTTCCCAGGAAGCGTTTGATGATGGGTCTGCTCTTGGCAAATTTATCTTTAACCTCTATCTCCAAAACGTCCGTCGGCAGGGACACAAAGTTAAATCGCTGTGAATAAAAAAGAAAAGAAAAGAAAAAAAAAAGAGTGCTCAGTTTCTACATCAACAGATTGGTGTTAACTGCTGATATTCAGTTTGTTTGTTTTTCTCTTTGTACTGCATGATTTCCATTTTATTTCATTAAGTTTGTTATCTCAAGGGAATTTGATGGTTCATAACACATGGACTGGAAATATGTTACTAATATATTGCTTCATTCCTGACCTTCCCAAATGGCTAATCCTTTATTAGATTTATAAAAATTATTTTTTTTTGTTGAAATTTATTAACATTTTTTTAAATACTTAAAAAATAAATTAATAGTAAAAATAAATACAATAATAATAATAATAATAATAACAATAATAATAAATTAAAATAGGTGATTATTTTTAGCTTTATTGTGCCCATTGGCTAATCAGAAAATAAGAAATTATTGATTAAACATTTTTTTTAATGAAAATTCAAAAGTTCTATTTAAAATTTTAATAAACATTTAAATTGCCTTTATTATACCCCTTGGCTTATCAGAGTTAAAATAAATAAATGTGATTTTTATTAAATACTTGTAAAAATACATTAAATTCATAAAAATAAAAATATATAAATGATAAAAAATACAATTAAAATAGATTTAGCTATTGTTATTGGCTTTATTGTAGCATGTGGCTTATCAGAATATTTAAAAAATAAATAATTAGTAAAAAAATATTCTGATGAAATTCATTAACAATTTTTTTTTCTTTTTTAAAATACTTGTAAATATATAAAATAAATTCATAGAAAAAAACAAAAAACAAAACAGACTCAGCTATTGTTATTGGCTTTATTATAGCCCTAGGCTAATCAGAATATAAGTGTGTGTGTAAAACAGAATATTCTTTGTGTTCTGGGATGCTGCATCCTGGCTGTAGTCCATCAGAAAACTGCAGCGATGACGGAGTCTATGAAAGCACAAGACTAGCTTGTTTTGTTCCCTGTGGCAGTTAACCAAGTATCACGATTCTTTTTCAAGGAGGCACACAGGACTTTTTAGGATGGCTTTTCAATTAGTGGCACACAAGCCCAAACTCAAACCCCCACCCTGCTCCCATAACCAAATGCAGTGTGTCCTCAAACGGGCTCTGGATAGACACGGCTCAGAAACACTTTACGTTAGAGACAGACCACAACTGAGTGGAAGATAACAAGCACAAGCAGAGAACTGCTGTCCAAATGCATTTCATTTAGATGTTCAGGGGTTGCATGTTTATGTGCCAAAGGTTGGTGCAGCAGTAATTTAGCAGTAATAATTCCTACAATTAAGAGAAAATAGTTGCAAACAGCTGCATGCTTCAGGGGTAGGATACTTACACTCTTCAGAGACACATTTAATGCTGTAAAGAAACAGATTTACAGCTGCTTACATCACTGACAAAAAAGTACCAGGATGACAAGATCTTTTAAACACAAACTGGAACATGCAGAATCAAACTTAATCAAATGCAAATAAATATATATATATATATACACACACAAACACACACACACACACACACACACACACATCATACTATATACACACTTTGTGGTCAGTAAGTCTTTATTTTTTTTAAAGAAATTAATTTTATTCAGCAAGGATTCATTAAATCGCTCAAAAGTGACAATGAATTAGAATTAGAATGTTACAAAAGTAACAGTAATTTCTATTTAAAATGAATGCTGTTTTTTTTTCCCAAAAATTCTAAATTCCAAAAAATAAAATACATCATGGTTTCCACTAAAATATTGTGCAGCACAACTGTTTTCAACATTGATAATAATCAGAAATGTTTGTTGAGCAGCAAATCAGCATATTAGAATGATTTCTGAAGATCATGTGACACTGAAGACTGGAGTAATGATGCTGAAAATTCAGCTTTGATCACAGGAATAAATTATATTTGAACAGATATTCACATAGAAAACAGTTATTTAAAATTCTAATAATATTTCACAGTTTTATTGTATTTTTTGATCAAATATATGCAGCCTTGGTGAGCAGAAGAGACTTCTTTCAAAAACATTACATAATATTTTTATGTGCATTACATTACATTTAGTCATTTAGCAGATGCTTTTATCCAAAGCGACTTAGAATTAAAATAGAATAGAGAGTGCTAGAGTTAGAGGATCAAGTAAAGGTGGAACAGATGTGTTTTTAGTCGTTTCTTTAAGATGGTTAAGGACTCAGCTGCTGGGATTGATTTGGGCAGGTCATTCCACCAGGAGGGAACAGTTAATGAAAAAGTCTGTGAAAGTGATTTTGTGCCTCTTTGAGATGGCACAATAATACACCGTTCACTTGCAGAACACAAGCTTCTAGAGGGCACATAACTCTGAAGTAATGAATTTAGGTAAATGGGTGTAGAGCGAGTGGTGGTTTTGTAGGCAAACATTAATGCCTTAAATATAATGCGAGCAGCTACTGGTAGCCAGTGCAAATTGATGAACAGAGGTGTGACGTGCGTTCTTTTCGGCTCATTAAAGATTAATCTTGCAGCGGCATTTTGGATTAATTGTAGAGGTTTGATAGAAGTGGCTGGAAGACCTGCCAAGAGAGCATTGCAATAGTCCAGCCTGGATAGAACAAGAGCTTGAACAAGGATGTTATGTTACATCATTATATACATTACATATTAACAATATGTGCATATGGTAGCACATTACATTTCATCACTCTATGGTAATAAGGTATTTTCAGACATTTACCACAGTGGAACTTCATCTGTGAAGACTGCAACAGAGTGTTAGGACAGCTGAGAGGATTATTGGTGTGCACCTGCTCAACATTCAGGATTTGTACATCTCCAGAATCAGGAAACGGGCAGCTAACATTATCATGGACCCCTCTCACCCCGGACACAACCTGATTGCACTTCTGTCTTCAGATCTCTGTGCACCACAACATCTAGGCATAATCACATTTGTTTTCCCCAGGCCATTTCCACCTTAAATAACTAACACCAATTTACAACCTGCTTTGTCTAATAAATTGTAATTCAGGTAATATGTAAATACACATTTTTATTCATACTGCTGAATATACAGTACATAAACCGTCAGATATAATGTAAGTTACTTTATTGTTTTTTAAATTTTTTCATTTTTATTTTTTTTCTCAGTTTTTACTCTCATGTTATATGTGTATGTACCAAGAGCTCCTGGAAACCACAACACATTCCTTGTGTATTTGTGCACACTTGGCGAATAAAGCTCATTCTGATTCTGACTGTCATATAAAGGATAATTATGTTGTAATCATTCAGTGTAGGTATATATCAAAATACCTTAGTATTACCATCATGATGTCTAATATACAGTAACTGCAAGTCTGTATTTTCAGTACTACAGTATGTATTTGATGCACAGCATTATTTTTCCAAGATTCACAGATTTCACGTGACAAGAGTCTGGCCACAGTTTAGAATCAGAGAGATTTGCTTTCTGAATGAAAGAGGATCAGGGCAGGAGTTAATACAACAGACACAGTAAAACACACATCAGTAAATCAGAGAGAATAAGAGCTTGTTCAGATGTGCATCTCACTGTCTGCTGCTGGCAAACGAGCTGCAAGGAATCAAGATCAGCTCTCAGCCTTGTTGCGGGATATAAATAGTAATGTACACAGGCAAACCTCAAACCTTGTGTGTGATTATTAGTGAATGAGACAGTGTTGGTAGGTTTCAACATAGTTGTGATCCAGAAAGGCATTGTCAGTAGGAAAAAAGGACCATTAGTGGAGATGACAGAAAATGGCTTTGGACATAAGAAGAAACACCCACAATATCCACAAAAACCATGAGCTCTGTCCTACACCAGATTTCACATTCACTCTCAGTGGAAAGACTTCTCTATATCAACATCAGGAAAATATCTGGGTCAGCGCTAGCCAAATAATATCTGGGCAAACATATTTCCACTCATCAAGAGCCGAATGGCTGCCAAGAGCTGCAGTTATTAATCACATCTGGATGAGATGGGTTGGGTGATGTATTGCATATTCATGATGTTTGCAATGATTTTTTGTTGGCAATATGAAATTAAGCACCATCATAAATATGTTCAGTTGGTCAGTCAGTTTCCTGATCTCGGTTTCCTCATTGTGTCGCAGCTTACAAATAAAACAGCAGTAACCGAGGCTGTCACAAAGTCTCACATTTAAACCTGAACAGCAAAAAAGACAATAGATTTGCGAAGTGAAATTCATCTCCAATTTGTTAATTATTTATTTTTTTTTATGTATCATGGGGCATTTTACATTTTACAATGTTTCCATAAAAAATTATATTAGATAAATATTGTTGTTTAAATTGGTACATATAAATAAACTATGAACAAAAAATATAATATTTATTAATGTATCAAGACAGAGGTGATTCCAAAAGGCTGAAACTGCATAAAAAAAAAAAAGATTTAAAAATATATATTTTTACATTATTTCTGGGTCATTAATTAAGCAAATATGTGAGAGTGATCACACTTTCTTGCTTCCACTGAAAATATGTTTTACACAAATCCACGAGTGCTGTTGTCATTAAAGCAAAAGAAAAATGAAGAAATAATTAAAATCAGGAAAACCTTCTTAATATAAATATACACTTAAATTGTTATGGCAAAATGAAAAAAAGTAGTTTTAAATGAATAAAATGCATAATAGAAGCACTTCACTAATGGTTTCAAACTTTCAAATCTATCTATCTACATCTCTAGTTAGTGTCATATATCTACAGTGGGTATTGAAAAGAATCACCCTCCTTTAAAATAATCACATTTTGTTGCTTTGCAGCCTGAAATGAAGACGGACACAGTTTTTGTTTTATCCAGCTGTATTTACTCAGTGCAACTTGTAACATGCAAGTGAAAGATAAAACACCAACATGTCAGAAAAAAATTAAAAACGGAATCTCTGAGTTGGAAAAAGGATCAGCCCCTTGTGTCAGTATTTAGTTGAAGCACCTTTTGCTTTAATTATAGCTTTTAGTCTGTTGGGATTTGTCTCTACTAACTTTGCACATCTAGTCTTTGCAATATTTGTCCGCTCTTCTCTGCAGAACTGCTCAAGTTCAGTTAAATCTGATGGTGAGTGTTTGTGGACTGCAGTCTTCAGGTCCTTCCACAGATGTTCAGTGGGGTTTCAGTCTGGGCTCTGACGAGGCCATGCAAGGACATTCTGCTTTTTCTCCTTCAGCCACTGTGTGTCAGTTCTGCTGTGTGCTTTGGCTCATTGTTATGTTGGAAGGTAAACCTTCTTCCCATTGACAGCTTTCTTGCAGAGGGCAGCAGATTTTCCTCAAGAATTTGACCGTATTTTGCCCTGTCCATGTTTCCTTCTATCCTGACTCGTGCTCCAGAACAGGGCATCACCAGCTCCATGCTTTACTGCAGGAATGGATTGGATTTCCGCCAGACATATTGTTTGGTGTTGAGGCTAAATAATTCAATTTTAGTCTCATCTGCCTTAGAATCTTCAAGGTGTGTTTTGGCAAAGCTCAGTCTGACTGCATGTGGCCTTTCTTGAGGAGTGGCTTTTTTCTTGCAACCCTGGGGCTGCTTCATATGAGGCCATTTCTGTGGTGGATGAAGTCCAAAGGAGTTTGTCCCTCGTGGCCGGCCCAACTTGCACAGTTGCTTTCGCGCCCTCTCAACATGGCGGGACCCTCTCTTTCTTCAGCAGTCAGAATAGACAACATGGCTGGTAGTGTCTCACATCAACATGTGCACCACCTCCTTCTTTGGTCTCAGGACAGGTTTCTTTCCCTGAGAGCGCTTCAAGTCCCCGGGGCTCTGAACCTTGCAGCGGACTTCCTATCGAGGCAGAAACTCAGGTCGGGGACTGGATGATGACTGGATAGCTCCTTCTACTAGAAGGCTTTATTCTTCCAAGTGGAAGGTTTTTGAGTTGTGGTGTTCGGCTCATTCAGTGGACCCAGTCAGCTGCCCAATTGGTTCAGTGCTGGAGTTTCTGCAGGAGAAGTTTGCGGCTGGAGCGGCTGCTACCACCTTGAGAGTTTATATTGCAGCTATCGCTGCTCGCAGATATCTGGACAAAAGTCCCCCTAGGTAGACATCATTTGGTCTCTTTGTTTATGCGTGGGGTTAGGCATTTGAGGCCGGTGTGCCCTGTCAGTGTTCCTTGCTGGGACTTGTCTATCATCCTGGTGAGCTTATTGGAGTCGCTGTTTGAGCCTTTGGAGTCAGCTCCTGAATGGATTCTGAACCTTATGGTGATGCTCCTGTCGGCGTTGGCTTCTATCAAACGCATTGGGGATTTGCAGGCTCTCTCTGTTAGCATGTCATGCATGGAGTTTGCTCCAGGTCTTCTTAAGTTATTCCTACAGCCCAGACCCGGTTATGTCCCCAAGGCCTTGTCCATGTTATTTCGCTCCCAGGTGGTCATGCTTCACTCCTTCTGTCCTCCTCCTTTTGCTTCTGTTGAGGACGAGAGGCTTCACTGGCTCTGCCCTGTTCGAGCTTTGAAGCTCTAGATAGACCACTCTAGCCAATGCCACAATCCTCCCAATTGTTGGTGTGTTTTGGTGCTGGCCACAGAGGGCTCACTGCATCAAAACATAGGATTTCTAATTGAGTAAGGGACTCTATCTCGCTTGCATATGAAGTGCGCGGTCTCTCTTCACCGCAAAGTATTCAAGCTCATTCTACTGGGAGTGTTGTTTCCTCTCAAGTTCTTTTCAGAGGACTTCCCCTGGAGGGCAGGGTGGATGGTCATCTCTTCACACTTTTATCAGGTTTTATAGCTTGGATTTAGATGTGGCTCCTGGTTTCCAGATTCTTCCTGCTTGAACCAGCCATTTGAGGTTAGCCTGGTCTTTTTTGCATCAGGCCAGATATGGCAGCGCTTAGCTTGGTGGGTGTGGTATATCGTTCCCATTGCATCATAGCTATGCAACGTTGAGTGAACCTATGAAAGAGAACGTCTCGGGTTACTCGCGTAACCCATGTTCTCTGAATAGGGAATGAGACACTGCATTCGCTGCCGAGCTCCTCGCGCTGCCAACAGGGCTTCTTCGGCAGGAGATCTGAGGAGTGGATGGTGCGCCATCAGCCAATGAATTGGCGTGATTCCATACTGGCTTCAGACAATCGCCACCCCCAAGGGGCATTCCCATGGCGTCATAGCTATGTAGCATCTCATTCCCTATTCAGAGAACATAGGTTATTCACAACCCATTTTCCAAGGAAATGAAGAAACAAAATTAATAAAACATATGCAGTCACTGAGATTAAAACAATAGTTACAAAACAAAAAGCAAACTAACTACATTCAATTCAAAACAACGTATGAACCAATTGAATATTCTGTGGACACTCTGAGACTCCTGCAGTAAACAGGCAGCAAGGCACTATGGGAAACTCAGCAGGTCACGTTTCATCTAGCAGACATTATATGGTGCCATTAACCCCCAAAGGGCCGCCGGTGAAAACCTTCTGTGGCTCACATTTGCTCTCTACTGGATTTCAGCCAGTTCAGCCAAGCGTGTGAAGAGAAATGAGCCCATAATTCACCCACTGACTTACTGCCGACTGCCTGACTTACAGCGAGCGGAGTATTTCACACACGCTACAGACTGAGACACCAGCTATCTGAAACCGATAGCAGAGGATAAGGAACCCCAGTACAGCTGAAATCAGGGGAAGTATGGCAGCACAAGCCTGTTCATTCACTCACAATACAGTCTGGAACAGAATATTATCACATGGCATTGTAAAGTATGTAAGTAGTTTTCATTTTTGAAAAGGTTCCTTTATGAAACAATAAATAAATTAATTAAAGTAAAAATAATTGTTTCAAAAGAATGCAAATGCAAAAATGAACAATAAATAAATTTCTTTGTGTTTCAGAAAAAAAAGCTATTATTGTGAACAAAAGATGAACTACAAAAGTCTAATCTACTTTTTTCACACATTTATTTTGAATTCTCAGAGAACAAACACAAAACTAAGAACTAAAGTGAAGAAACTAAACAAATGCATACAAAATCAAATAATCATTGGATAGGTGATGATTTAAGAAAATGCAAACTTGTAAACGTTTGAGTAATTCGTGCATGTATGAAGTTTTTATATCTATTTTGTCCAAGGTTTCATTATTCATTTGGCAGTTTCTTTTTAGTCTGCATATTACTGGATATTATTAATTAAAGCTAAAGAGAGATGAGTAGCTGTTGTCAGACTGTTGTTGGGAGTCTCTGAGGGAGGTGAAGCTAACAAGGCTTGTGTTCAGGTTTATTAGGACAAGAGTGAACGAGCTGCAGTGAAGACGCTCAGGAGATTGTGCTGTAGGGATTAACAGCCTGTCACAACACGTGTGTGTGTGTGTGTGTGTGTGTGTGTGCGCGCACGCTGAAGCTGTCTATAAGACATTGCAAGAACAGACACAATGATTATTAGTGGCTTTCTCACTGAGAGAGCGATGCCTTTCACCACTGCTTCAGTCTGTTAAAGGGACATTTCACCCAAAAATGGAAATTCTGTCATCATTTACTTGCCTTCATGTCATTTCAAACCTGTATGAGTTTCTTCTGTTGAAAAGAAGAAAAAGAGAAGATATTTTAAGGAATGTTGGTGACCAACAGTTGCTGGTAGCCATTGACTTCCATAGTATTTTTTTCCCTACTATAGAAGTCAATGGCTACCAGCAACTGTTTGATTCCCAACATTTTTCAAAAGATCTTCTTTTGTGCTCAACAGAAGAATGAAACTCATACAGGTTTGAAATGACATGAAGTTAATAAATTATGACAGAATTTCCATTTTTGGGTGAACTGTCCCGTTAACAACAAGTAAAAATATAGTTCTGTCATGGCAACTCTCGGAGGGACTAGCATGGTAATGTACATGACAATGTTAATGTATTTGGTCTTGGCGAAATAGATCTGCTACACTGCTGCTGCGGCAGAGCAAGTACCGAGACTTGCTACTGCCAATACATCCACAACATGCTGCTGTGAGCATGTAAGAAATACTGCTGCTGCAAATATAACATACATGAAATAACCCCCATATAGCGTACATAAATCACCTCGTAGCAGATCTATACAGGTGGAGCTGGGGAAGGTGGAGGGTTTCTGAAGCAAGCTGCAACTGCTACAGCAAGCACTAGTCATATATTTTAATGTTGAGCAGTGAGCTCACTGGCTACCGATACAGGAGAGAACCAATCAGCTGCCATGTGATAATGATGTCATTAGGTCAGATTGAGTTAGACCTATCGGACTGCGCCATCTAGAGTTTCATGCCAGAACTCTGTATTTATTGTGTGGTTTATGTATTTAATTTTTAGATTTAAATGTTTCTGATTGCAATTCCATTATACATCAAAATCATTGATTATGGTTATATCTTTAGTTATAATGGTTAATACAACATCCTTGGACTTAAAATCCTGGGAGTGAGTGTGAACGATCATTAAAAGATCTAATAAAAAACGTTCAAAAATCTAAAAATGCTTGTCTGAGTGCCATGATTAAATCCTTTAACACTCTTTAATATCTATGAATATTGTAAATATTTGTCATAATATCAGATATTAAAAGCTCCACTGCATTGATTTTATAGGTGATGCCAGCTCTGTTTGTGCAGTTATGTTTCTCCCAAATGTGTTGTAGACAGAAGCTGGGATAAAATACCTCGCAGTTCGGGTCTGAATCAAAACTTCAAGTCAGAAAGTTATCAGAGAGCTTCTTTTCCATATGCTTTTGTTTTCAGAGCAGCTGGCAGAAGCAGCATCAGCGAGTCAAAGCTGCAGCACCTGAGGCACTCTGCTTTCATGATCTGCTCAAAGCTGCATTTGAGCACATGATGTGGTCTTCAGAAAGAAAAACATGAAATGTCACAAAGACAGCTCCAGACTCAAACTCAAAGGTGATTTTTTAGATGTCAGAATGCCTTTAAATGATCCGTCATATTAAACATGAGTGAAGGAGGTTGAGGAAAAGCTCACCTCTCTCTTCCAGACGGGGTTGACCGTGTTGCAGATGATGCCTGACCGTTTCTCCTGACCATGATGAGGCAGCACAGGGAAGATGCTGTGCTTTCCAGGCTGGATGGCGATTTTCAGATATGGGTCAGGATTGAAGAACATTCCCTTCTTCAGACCGACTGCCTGAATGTCTGAAAAAAATCAGACCAAAGGAAAACTTTATGGTGAAATGACAACTAAAATATGTAGTGTAATTATTACCATAGTAATATTATTAAAATGATCAATTATCTTATTATTATTATTATTTGCAAATTCTAATTTTATATATATATATATATATATATATATATATATATATTATATATATATATATTAGGGCTGTCATCGTTAACACGTTAACGCATGCGATTAATTTTACAATCCTTAACGCTTTAAAATGATTTAATGCAATTAACGCAAAATTACTGAAGCACAATTTCTATTCTAACCCTTTAACCCCATTTTGCTACTCTGCTTGCGATTAGATAATTTTAAGCCACTAAACTAAGTCCAGTGATCCAGTAAGCGAATGCATTCAAACAATCCGTCCAAAACAGCGCTAATAAAGGAAACCAGGCTGATTACATCAGAGATTGCAGAGAGAACAGAGACACGCGTTGCGTTTTCAGTGAATGATTAATTCCAGTGTGTCTACACATCCCACCGCTGTATGGCCAGATGAGACGCAAACTATGGTTTCTCGACTGGATATACAGTGTCGCTAGTAAAGTTTTGATGAATGAAGACTGCAATCAAGGTAAAGACGATTGCGGTGGCGTACAGGAGTCGTACAATAAGGACGCGTGAGTCCGTTATAATAATGTGTGTATAACTTAGTGTTGGGTCGTTCTTGAACGATTCGTTCATTTTGAATGAATCTTTAATGTGACTCGGGAAGAACGAGTCGTCTCGGGGAGTGATTCGTTCCATTTCCTTACATTCACGTTGTTTCCACACACATTCACGATAATGTTGCTGTGTTTAGTTATTCTGAATGGATCCGTGTACTGTAGTAGATACAGTATATGCAGTCAGCAGGCGGTTGGTTTAAGTTTTTTTGGCATCTCCATGTGGTCCTGTTCGGTATCGCAACTTGGCTTCTCGAAAATGTAAAAAGCGCTTTGGTGTTGCACTGTACACATACTATAATATTCTGATTTTTTTTCTTTTATATGTGCTTATATAGGCTCCTTTTGGAGTTTCTAAGTGTCCTTTTTTGGAAAGTCATCTAAATTTACCTTGAAAAAAGTTTGCAGAAAATATAGATTTTTGAGAATCACCCTTCAATCTTTTGGTTTACTTTGCTGGATATAGCAAATGATGACAAAATAAACATTTGAAACAAGATAAATGGACTATGCTTAATTTCATGAAGTGTGCGATTAATCACAGAAAAATTATGTGATTTATTAGATTAAAAATTTTAATCGATTGACAGCCCTAAAATAAAGTCATCAGAACACAGAGTAGTGGTATAACTGAATTAATTGGTTCGGTAGAATAATTGATTTGTTTCTAAATGAATCAGTGTTTTTGAATAAGTTGTTGAATGATTGCTTTAATAATCACTCATAAAAGATTGCCTGTTTGTTTCCAGATTGAATCAGTGTTTTTCAACAGATCAATAGTGTGAATGAGTCACTACAGACACTATTTGTTTATTTATTTATTTAAATGCAACAATTATTAATTTAATTAAAAATGTCTTTACAACTACTACTACTACTACTAGTAATAATAATAATAATTCTTTAATAATAATTCAGGCTGCTACCCAGTACATCCCCAGAAAGTTACTCCATTCCCATTAATATTCAACTGCATATGTGACCCTGGACCACAAAACCAGTCATAAGGGTCAAATTCTCAAAATTGAGATTTATACATCATCTGAAAGCTGAATAAATAAGCTCTCCATTGATGTATGGTTACCCATGCAATGTATGTTTGGCTATTGCTACAAATATACCTCAGCGACTTAAGACTGGTTTTGTGTTCCAGGATCACATATGTTCTAATATTTGTGTTTCCTGGTGTCCTTGTAATATTAAAACATAATTTATAGAGAAACAGGGGAAGCGAGAGGCTTAAAGGCTAAAGCCGTAAAGTCTGAGTCTGGGAATATGAAGAGAAAAGCAGGAAGTGTCAGAATCCCACAGGAGCTCATTATCTCCTCCAGTATCCAGATGGCAGACAGAGATGGGCTCGGGTTGGACGTATTATTGCACTGTCATAATCTACTGACTATGAGCTTAATGCGTTTTTAACACTATAGTTGGAGCATCTGAGTGTGTGATGCCATTTAGAGCCAGGGGACCTCCCATATTCACTGGAAAGATGTGAAATTATTGCACAATCATTTTTAGGCGAACTGCTGCTTCATGATCTTAAGTTTATGTTCAGTTAAAATGGCTGTCATTGGTGTTACCCAGTGAATTTCTATCAGGTTTCTTCTCAGACAGCCCTGCCAAGCTAATAGAACAAGAGGATGTTCCCTCGGTTTCAGGTTTTTGCAGGTCAACTGTCCACAAGCCATAACTTTGGGCTAAAAGGAACCGTGTTCTTCATCTCCCGAGGGGGTTTTCTGCTCACTGAGGAGATTCACTGGCAGCTGGACCTTCTTCAAAGTGCATGTATTTGTAGCAGCATGTTCAGACAGACCTTACGCTCACGGCAGAAGATGGTGCTATGAATAAAACATACAGTGCTGAGGGAGTCCTGAAGAGTACAGACAATAGTTTGGCCATCGCAACTTCAAATATAATTGAGAAGAAAGGGAAAAAGAGAGGATATGAAGAGACAAGATTGATCCTTTGGTAATGAATATTTTAAATTATGTTTGGGTTATGACATTGGATTTAAACAGTTTAATTCAGAAGTTAACATAATACAGAAGCCCTGCTGTATATTTCAAAGCGGTTCTCAAATTTCTCAAGAATCGTTGAAAAAAGAACCAAAAAAACCTTGTTATTTCTGCAGGTTTCATTGAAATGGCTCATTGAAATAACTCCACAGTGAGTGTGAAACGCTAGAGGATTCATGGGAAATTGTCGCTCAGTGCAACATTGAAACACAACAGAAAAGGGCTATAAAGATTTTATGAAGCCCAGAGACTTCAGTGAGAGAGAGAGACATTTCTGAGGCTAGAGATGAAAATGTTGAGATGCTTCTCTAAAACTAAAAATGTTCCCTTGAGGATCCAAAATATATGAATTGATTCAATTAAATTAAAAAGTAATTGAAATGAATAAAAAAATGCACTAGAAATAAATGTATATATACATACATGCACATCGATGCACACACACTCACATACACACACACACACACACACACACACACACACACTTATAATTAATTACTTAATGAAAATAAATGCTGTGCTAATTAAAACTCTTAATATGCACAACCGTTTAAAAGTTTTGGGTTGGTAAGATTTTTTTATGTTTCTGAAAGAAGTCTCTACTGCTCATCAAGGCTGCATTTATTTGATCAAAAATACAGAAAAAAACAGTAATGTGAAATATTAGGACTACATCTGGCAGTAGCTCGGGCGGTTTGAGGATCACAGTGGTGGCAACCCCTCCGGGGAACCAACCTCCCAGGGACCGCCACTCCTCTAGCACTTCGCAGCCAGTCGAGCTCCCTCAGGAACGTGCTGGGCCCTCTACAAGGAGCATACCAGCCGTATCCTTTGGGGCTCCTCCCGACGAACGGATGTAGAGGAAGATCCTCTTTGGAGAGGAAGATTCGGCTGCACTGCCGCCCTCCGGGACGGTAGCAAGGCCTGAATCGGATCCAGAGATGACGGCTATGCTTTCCCGGGCCGCCGAGAGGGTAGGACTCGAGTGGAAACCTCCACCGTGTCCCGAGCCCTCGAGGTTGGATGACTGGTTTCTCGGGGTGGCCCGCGCTGGTTCTTAGCGCCCCACTCCGGTGCCATTCATCCCGGAGGTGCATGAGGAGCTCACCAGGTCGTGGATGGCACCTTTTACTGCCAGAAACCGGCCTGGTAGTTCCTCCTCCCTCACCACCCTCGATGGTGGAGCAGCCAAAGGGTATACGGAGATCCCCCTGGTGGAGCGGTCGGTAGCGAGCAGAAGCAGACTGAGGCGATTCGACACATCCTGCCCCGGTGGGCAGCTGCTGCCTCCACTCCTCCGCCGGCCGCAGCACCTCAGCCTGCTCGTCGCCGAGTGCATCCCCCTGCAGCCGCCCCCACGCCGCAGCAGCCTCCAGCTAAGCAGCGCCGTGGAGCCGGTCGCACGGCATCCGCCCCGCCCGTCTCGGCCCCCGCCAAACCTGCCGGCAAGTGGAAGAGCAAGAGGCCCTGAGACGGGCGACCCGAGATGGAGGGAGTTGCTTTTCGGGAGATGGTGAACGCACCACTCCCTCCCCCGGAGGAGGGCCGGGCGGAGAATCTTTTGTTTTGTTTTATCCCGCCACTGACCTCTCGGTCGGTGGTACCCAAACACTCAATAAAAGAGCAAATTCCTCTATCTCTGGGTCTCAAGAGGGCACGGAGAGTTGTGGACGGTCCAGAGCTGGATCACTCTCATCCTCCTCTGTCGCCAGTAGGGGTGTAACGATTCACTCGTTTTCTCGATGCATCAATTACAAACCCTGACAATGCAATGCATCGATCTTGAAACATGGATTTTTGAATAGTGAATCGCCGATTTCAGACAGTAATCGATTTAAAACACTAAGAATCGAATGAATCGCGATTTCTATAGCGATTCAATGCTTTCCAAATTTATACACATTAAATTACTGCAAGCACGAATTAATGGAGACCTTGAACAGTGTTCGTACCCTCGCATCTCTCCTTCACGCGCTGCAGTATTTACCGCCTGTAACTGTCACAGGATTGCGCTCGCGCTCAGTTCGTCTCACTGACACATTTTTTGAGCAGCTGATGTGTGATCTCTCCTTAGTACTCATGGCCAGTAATGCTAAAGTGAAGTAGTTTTACTTTTCTGTAGATTTTACTGGCTCTCGGTCATACCAACTACATTACCAGAGCAGTCGAAAGCTGCGCATTTATTGCATGGACAGAGCAAAAATGTAAGTGTCTAAAACATATGCACAGTTCCACTGAATGATAAATGTGTTTTAACAATGTTGTTGAACCGAATGTACGAAGGAAACTGTTAAAATAAAACTGTTCCTTTCATAATCATCATTCGCCGATGGAGAGGAAAAGTTAAATACTATAGCATTTTATTTTATGAAAATTAGTTAAGAAGTTTTCGCACTGAAAGAGAAGTGATCTCGCGCTCATAGAATTAAGACGTGCCAGGCTATATCTGCAGCTGTATAAAAAGAATGAACTGAAACGTTAAGACAATAAACACAATAAATAAATAATTATGAATGATGCAATGCTAATTGACATATTTATTACAGTACAGAAACCATAAAGTATATTTTCTACCTTATTCTGTGCAGAAAATTGTAATAATTGTTTGTAGTATATAAAACAATCATAAAAATTGCCATTAGGAAAAAATGATAGATTACAAATGATTGATTATTGTCCAGCTGTGTATTTGATTTCTTATAGCAAATTCAAAGTAAGAGATAAGAAAAGAATTCCTTGGAAAAAATAAATAAATAATACATACATACATAAAATTATTGTATTTGACATTTGTCACTTCTGAAATGATGGCTACGCCCCTGGTGTGACAAAATGTTAGCCTATACATAATACTTTTAAAGCTCTTTTTTAAAATCTTGGCTTACATACATTGCTACATATGCCATGTCATGCCATAGCATCATTAAACTAGCATCTAACAATGGACAAAAAAAACATTTTCTCTAACCTATGGTTCTGTAACCATAAAGGCTGCTGTGTAATTTGCCCCCTGACTAAGCATTTAAAGAATTGAAGGTAAGCATTTAAATAATCCTATGAATGCACATAAAGAATGCAGAATCGAATAGTTGAATCGAATCAAATTTAATTGTGAATCGAATCGAATCGTTCTGAATGTGCAAAAATCGCTCTTGAATAGAATCGAAAACCTTTGAATCGTGAATCGAATCGATTCGCTGTCTACCCTTTTCCCAACCTTCATTCAGTTCACCTGGCATCCCCCCAAGTTCAGGGGCATCCACTTCACATCAGTGAATGCAGCCGATGCTCATGTCTTGCGTGCGGAGGTCGCAGTCCTGCTGGCAAAGGACACGATAGAGCCGGTCCCTCCAGCCGATATGAAGACGGCGTTTTACAGCCCCTACTTCATTGTACCAAAGAAAGGCGGTGGGTTACGACCGATCTTGGACCTGCGTGTCTTGAACCGAGCCCTTCACAGGCTACCATTCAAGATGTTAATGCAGAAACGCATCTTCGGGTAAATCCGTCCCTGAGATTGGTTTGCAGCCATCAACCTGAAGGACGCGTACTTTCATGTCTCAATCCTTCTGCGCCACAGACCTTTTCTGCGGTTCAGTACAAGGTCCTGCCCTTCGGGCTGTCCCTGTCCCGTCGGTGTTGAGCTGCTTGAATTCATTCAAAGGCAGGACGGCGGTCCCACTGAAACGATTCAGAGGCTCCTGGGGCATATTGCAGCTGCTGCGGCAGTCACGCCGCTGGGGCTGCTTCATATGAGACCACTTCAGCACTGGCGCCATGGCCGAGTCCCGAGGTGGGTGTGGCAGCGCGGCACTCACTGGGTCCAAGTCACACCGGCCTGCCGCCAAACCTTCACCCCGTGGTCAGACCTCACGTTTCTTCGGGCAGGAGTGCCCCTAGAACAGGTCTCGAGGCATGCTGTGGTACACATGAATGCCTCCACCACCGGCTGGGGTGCCACGTACAACAGTCAAGCAGTCTCGGGGGTGTCCCAACTGCACTGGCATATAAATTGCCTGGAGTTGTTAGCAGTGCGCCTTGCCTTGAACCGTCTCAGAGTGCGCTTTCAAGGCAGGCACGTACTGGTCCGTATGGACAACACTGTGACCGTTGAGCACATCAACTGACAAGGTGGTCTGCGCTCCCATCATATGTCTCAACTCGCACGCCACCACCTCCTTTGGAGTCAGAAGCATCTGAGGTCGCTTCGTGCCATTCACATTCCGGGCCTGCACAACCGTGCAGCCGACGAGCTGTCATGAGCTGCGCTCCCCGGAGAGTGAAGACTCCATCCCCGGACGGTCCAGCTGATTTGGAGACATTTTGGAGTCGCTCAGGTAGACCTGTTTGCCTCTCCTGAAACCTCTCACTGCCAGCTGTTCTACTCCCTGACCGAGGGAACACTCGGCACGGACGCATTGGCACACAGCAGGCCTCAGGGCCTACGCAAATATGTGTTTCCCCCAGTGAGCCTTCTCGCACAGACATTGTGCAAAGTCAGGGAGGACGAGGAACAGGTGCTGCTTGTGGCGCCCTACTGGCCCACTCGGACCTGGTTGCCGGAACTGATGCTCCTTGTAACAGCCCCTCCCTGGTAGATTCCTCTGAGGAAGGATCTACTGACTCAGAGATGGGGCACCATGTGGCACCCACATCCAGAGCTCTGGAAACTTCATGTCTGGTCCCTGGATGGGACGCGGAGGTTCTAGGTGACCTACCCCAAGAGGTAGTGACCACCATCACTTCGGCGCAAACACTGTCTACGAGACATGCTTACGCCTTGAAGTGGAACCTGTTTGTCGAGTGGTGTTCCTCTCATCGAGAGGATCCCCGAAGATGTCCGATCAGAGTCGTGCTCTCCTTCTTGCAGCAAGGGTTGGAGCGAAGGCTGTCTCCCTCCACCCTTAAAGTTTACGTCGCTGCTATTTCTGCTAACCATGACCGTGTGGAGGGGAGAACGGTGAGGAAGCACGACCTGGTCATCAGGTTCCTTAGGGGGGCGAGAAGGTTGAACCCTCCTCGACCTCCCTCTATACCTTCTTGGGACCTGTCTCTGGTGCTCGAAGTACTACAGCGGGTCCCATTTGAGCCTTTGCAAACATTTGAGCTGAAGTTTCTTTCAATGAAGACTCTGCTCCTGATTGCATTGGCCTCCATCAAGAGGGTAGGGGACCTGCACGCATTTTCGGTCGACAAATCATGCCTAGAGTTTGGGTTGGCTGACTCCCAGGTAATCCTGAGGCCCCGGCCCGGCTATGTGCCCAAGGTTCCTACTACTCTCTTCAGGGATCAGGTAGTGAACCTGCAAGCTCTGCCCCTGGAGGAAGCAGACCCAGCCCTTGCTTTGCTTTGTCCCGTCCGCACTTAAGATTGTACGTGGACCGGACACAATGCTTCAGGACCTCAGAACAGCTCTTTGTTTGTTATGGAGGCCGGCATAAGGGGAATGTCGTCTCCAAGCAGAGGATGGCCCACTGGATAGTGGATGCCATCACCCTGGCTTATCAAGCACAGGGTGTGCCCTGCCCGCTCAGGTTGCTTGCATCCTCCTTGGCGCTGGCTCGTGGCGCCTCGCTGGCAGACATTTATAGAGCTGCGGGCAGGGCGACCCCCAACATGTTCACTAGTTTCTATAGCCTTCATGTTGAACCGGTATCCTCCTGTGTTCTCACCTCAAACGGGTAGAAGCACCGAGAGGCCTCAGTTTAGTGTCGGCTTGCTAAAACCGCTCCAGAGAGTCCGTACTGTAGACCCTGTCGAGCTCCTCTATCCCCTCGGCAGCCGGACGTGGTGGAATGTCCGGCGCCAGGCCCTCACTCGATGAATCCATGAGAACCGGTAGAGGGCTGGGTTCCATATGTAGAGACCTAAGTGGATCCCATATGTGTAAAATCGCGGAACGTCCGGAGCCAGGCCCTCTCTCACTGCATCCTTGAGAACCGGTAGAGGGCTGGGTTCCATATGTAGAGACCTAAGTGGATCCCTTATGTGTAAAGTCCACGGTATAGCCTCAGAGCCTGTGTTTCCCCGGCAGACTTCTGCCATTTCCAAGAGTGTTACAATCACCTCTAACCTTCCATATGCACCTAAATGGTTGTTCATATGTGTAAGTGCTTCTGAAACCTCCTTCGGGAAGGATGGGGCTTCTGCAACGTTCCTGTTCCAAGTGGAATGGGTGGTGCTACGACAACAGTGACTGGCCTTATTGTTGCGAGCCCCGGCCTACACCAAAAAGGGGTGCAGGCGGCTCGCACAGGACATCCATGGCACTTTGGTAGCAATTCCCAATTAGTCAGTCCCGTCGCCACAGCTGCTGTACCACCGCTGAGCGGCAGCAGATGCACCGCAAACCTGAGTATGCGGTGCATCTGCTGCCTATTTATACTCGCGCTGCGATCAGCGGCAGCTGGATGCAATCATCGCATGCCAATGTGCATTGGCTCGTTTAGTTTACACTCGAAGTAGATTGGTCTCTCTACCGAGATTCCCAATTCGTCGGTCACCGACGTGATGTCTCCATTACAATACGTAACCAAGACGTTTTCTATGTGAATATCTGTTAAACTGTAATTGACTGCTGTGATCAAAGCTGAATTTTCAGCATCATTACTCCAGTCTTCAGTGTCACATGATCCTTCAGAAATCATTCTAATATGCTGATTTGCTGCTCAAGAAACATTTCTGATTATTATAAATGTTGAAAACAGTTGTTCTGCCCAATATTTTTGTGGAAACTGTGATACATTTTATTTTTCAGGATTCACAGATGAATAGAAATTTCAAAAGAACAGCATTTATTTGAAATAGAAATCTTTTGTAACATTATAAATGTCTTTACTGACACTTTTGATCAATTTAATGCATCCTTGATGAATAAAAGCATTCATTTCTTACTTTCAAGGTATTACTGACCCCAAAACCGTGAATGGCAGTGTTTATTTATTTAAACTGCTTAAAAACCAATAGCAAATCAATTCCTGTGTACATTTACAATAAATGTGGAGGAGATTTTCAACAGTTGGCAAACTACTACATATACCTATACTTCATCACTAACATTACTTACAAATGATCTCATTGCATTTTTAATGTATTTGGCACAATTGTCTTTCAAGATGTTCATTTTTTTTTAGATAGATAAATACATACATACATGCACACACACACACACACACACATAGCCAGCACCGACTTACCTGACAGAGAGAAGCTGATGAGCCTCCTGCTGCCCAGAGTCTGAGGAAGCTCCTGACTGATGACAGGCTTCAGCGCCTATCAGAGAGAATGACAGCAGTCAGCTGATCACGTGACTGAAGGACAGGAAGAGCTGCTGACAACAGGAAGTAACTCTACACAGGCCACGCCCCCTTTCTTTCTTTCCTCTTCTGTTTGCTTAAAGCCTATTACAGACGCCCAGCTCATGGCACCAATCAATAGCACGCATTCATTAGGACTGCATTGATTCAGCATCCGGGAAGTGGAAGGGAAGAGGCTCATGGGACGGCACTTCTCAGAAGAGGAAAAACTCAAGCTCTATGGCTGATAGGGAACACTGGCTCCAGGGTTATTACTGTAAACTAAAGACCAAAATAAGTGACTTAAAAATACTTTTGTCAACTGAAGAAAAAAATACTGCAATATACAAGTTCAAAAGGAATAAAATACCAAAAAAGAAAACAAACAAACAAAACAAAACAAACAAAAAAAAAACAATAAAAAAAAAAACTAATTTTTTATAACCATCCATCTTCGTTTTTATAATCATCCTTCTTCAGAAATACAGAAATATACCTGTGTCTGTGTGCAGTAAGAAATCCCACCTGCAGATGGCAATACATGTGTGATGATGCATAAAATAAAATAAATTAGAAGTGTTGCCTTGGCAATTAACTGAAATAAGTTGAAGCACTAAAATTACTAACTGGAAATCAATAAAAATATCTAAACTAGTGAACTATTATTCTTTACATTATTTGAGATAGTAAAATTATCTTGGGGTCCAGGGTTCATTGAAATAAAATTTTTGTTCACTGAAATAAAATAATAAAATAAAATAAAACATAAAAAAATTTGAAATGTTGTCTTAGCAACTAACTGAAATATGTTTAATTTGATGCACTAAAATTAGTAACTGGACATAAATAAAAACTAAAACTGAATTAATAGTAAACCTGAAATAAAAATAAATTAGACCTAAATAATAATATAAAAAATAAAACTAATAAAAATGCTTTAAAAAGGACTAAAATGAAAGAGAATACTGAAAAAATAAAAATAAAAGCTAATTTAAAATATTAATAAAATTATACTACTCTATAACTAATACTAAAACAAAACTACTGGGTAGCCCCAAACAAAAAATGTTTTGAGGCAAAAAAGAGGGGTAAAGTAAAATTGAAAATATTATTTAAATAAAAAAAATACCCAAATTAAACTAATAACCTGTTCTGGCACTTACTGTACCAGACGTCCTCAATCTTCATAATTTTGTGTCTAGTCTGTTTAGTTCTTTAGAAATTAAACAGTCCATTCATTAATGAGACGAGGAGGATTGTTTTTATGCCAAAGACTTTCACTTCTTTTCAATAGGACGACGTGCACAGAATGACAGTCAAAGGGATTTAAAACACAAAACAACACATTTAGTGCAGAAACGACCTCTCAACACTTAATTTCAGCCAGTCTACTATAACCTCCTACTTTCCAATCTTTGTAATGTGAAGTTCCAGAAAACTACCTATAAATGAGTCCAAACATCCTTCAGAGTGTACAGAGACAAACAGCAGGCAGACAGAAAAGCGGTTCACACCCAAATGAGATGCAAATCCTGTCCTCCTGAGCGCTGCTGCTGGCCTGAACGCAGCTTTACCCAGATTACTCAGATTAAACAGATCTGCGGGAAACTCAGCTGTGCTTCAGCGGGACTCTGGCACGGACTACACACTACCGTCGGGATCCAGACCGGTTATTACACAAAAGGTGGCGGTTTGAACCACGAATCCTACTTCAGCCTGCCGATCAATCTGTTTGTTAGAGTTTCACGGTGATGCTGTTTGTTTTTAGTAATTATTCGATTTTTATTTTATGAAGAACATTTGCTGCCAGGGTATCTATGTGGTTGCTAAGGAGATTTAAGTTGCTTTAAAACTGTTGCTAGGTGGTTGCTAGTGTGTCAGAAGAGCCAAATCACAAGTCTCTATGACATTCAGGTCTCTAGATATAGATTAAGAAATCTCTATGTTTAATTTCCAAAAGATACAAAGGAGTAAAATTGACTTTATGGTCACTATGGATTTATGTCATTAGTCTAAACATGCCACAACATACCATAGAGCCATATGCAAATATTTTTGTAAAAAAACAAAACATATAAATGAAAAAACATGTATATAATATACATATATA